TCAGGGTAGAGCGACGCAATCTAAAAAGAGGCCTCGATATTTCGGTGGTTTCAGTGGTGCCTCATCTAGAGGCAGGGGTTCATTTGGTAGAGGCCATTCCATCAAGACGATATCGTTAGTGCTTTAGGTATCACACGATGCCTTGGGCAGCCGTGGTTCTTATGGGTCTCATCCTGAGCAGCTAGCATATGGAGCACCTTCAACTCTGATTAATGCACATTTGATTTAGAGTTATTCGGATAGTTATTCAGCTAGACAAGGTCTGTTCTAGGGCCAGAAGTCACACACAACCCGAGGACTTGTTATACTCTTGGAGATCTGAGGCAAGTCATGAGGTTTTGCCCGAGGTCACAAAGCAACATGCCATAGTAGGGTACTCGTGCCATGGTTTCGGACCGATTGCTCCACCACCCGCTCAGGCAGCTAGTTGGGGTCAGGCAGCCCGAGGTGGTGGTCAGGCCATTAGAGGTGGAGGCCAAACAGGGAGAGGTCGTCCGAGAGGCAGAGGTCAGATTGGTAGGGCTCAGCCCCGTTGCTATGCATTTCGAGCTAGACACGAGGCAGAGTCATTTGATGCGGTCATCACAAGTATTGTTCAAGTTTGCCATAGAGATGCATTAGTTTTATTTCATCTGGGCTTTACTTATTTGTATATGTCATCCTATTTTGCTTCATATTTGGATATGTCTCGTAATTCCTTGACTGGTCTTGTTTATGTGTCTACGCCCGTTGGGGATTCTAATGTGGTGGACAGGGTCTATCATACTTGTTTGGACACTATCGAGAGATATGAGACCATGGATGAGCTTCTATTACTTAACATGGTAGATTTTGATGTGATTTTGGACATGAATTGGTTGTCACCATATCACGCTATCTTCGATTGTCATGCCAAGGCTGTGAAGTTGGCCATGTCAGGGTTTCCATAATAGGAGGGGAGAGGGACTCTTGGTTACTCTACTAGCAGGGTCATTTGATATGTGAAGGCTTGGGGTGTGATCGAGAATAGGTGTATGGCGTATTTTGCTTATATCTGTAATTATAGTGTCGAGGTGCCTTCCATGGATTCAGTTCCAGTGGTGAGAGAGTTCCCAGAGGTGTTTCCTACATATTTGTTAAGTATGCCACCCGAAAGGGATATCGTCTTTTCTATTGACTTAGTTCCAGGCACTCATCCTATTTCTATTCTACCATACTGTATAGCCTTTGTTGAGTTGAAAGAATTGAAGAAGCAGTTGCACGATTTGATTTTTAAGGGGTACATTAGACTTACTGTCTCGCCTTGAGGTGTACCGATATTTTTTGTGAAGAAGAAGGATGGATCGATGAGAATGCATACAGATTATCGGCAATTGAATAAGGTCACTATGAAGAACAAATATATGTTACCAAGGATTGATGACTTATGTGAATAGCTTCGGGGTGTCAAAGTGCTTTCTAAGATTGACTTGAGATCTGGCAACCATCAGGTGAATGTTAGGGAACCAGATGTCGCAAAGACAAATTTTCAGACTCAGTATGCTCGCTATAAATTCTTTATGATGTCATTTGGCTTTACTAATGCCCAGTAGCCTTTATGGATTTGACGAACCGGGTGTTAAAGCTTTATCTATATTCCTTCATGATCGTCTTCTTTGATGATATTGTTTTACTCCCGCAGCCGAAAGGAGCAAGAGCAGTACCTCCGGATCGTTCTTCAAACTTTGAAGGATTGTCATTCATATGCCAAATTTTTAGATTGTAAGTTCTGGTTGGACTCGGTTGCCTTTTTTGGAAACATTGTGTCTTTCGATGGCATTAATGCGGATCATAGGAAGACTGAGGTAGTTCAGAACTGGCCTAGACCTACTTTAGCTACATAGATTCAGAACTTCTTGGGATTGGAAGGTTATTATCGCCGGTTTGTGGAGGGATTTTCATCTATCTCAATCCCATTGACCTAGTTGACCCAGAAGGGTACTTTTTCAGATGGTTCGACGAATGTAAGGTGGGATTTCAGAAGCTGAAGACTTCCTTGACTACAATCCCCATATTGGTGTTGCCTACCATTTTGGGATCTTACACCATGTATTGTGATGCATCATGTATTGGGCTTGGCGCGGTATTGATGCAGGATAGTAGGGTGATTGCCTACGTGTCTCCAAATTTGAAGGTTCATGAAAAGAATTACCTTGTACATGATTTTAAGTTGGCAACCATTGTTCTCGCACTGAATATTTGTAGGCACTACCTATACGACGTTCCATGTTAGGTCTATACTAAGCATCAGAGCCTCCAATACTTGTTCAAGCAGAAGGACCTTAATTTTTGCAGTGGAGATGGTTAGAGTTGTTGAAAGACTATGATATTACCATATTGTACCATCTGGGGAAGGCCAATGTAATGGTTTTTGCATTGAGTTGGAAGGTTGAGAGCATGGGCAGTTTGACATACTTACCGGTAGTGGTGAAGTCATTATCTTCATGCTTTGTCCAACCGGTTCGTGAGATTGGATGTTTCGGAGCCAAGATGGGTTCTTGTTTGGGTTGTGGCAAAGTCATCATTGTTGGGCATATCAAGGCTCGCCAGTTTATGATCCTCACTTGTTGGTTTTGGAAGACATGGTGCAACAGGGTGGTTCCAAGGAGGTTGTGATTAGAGATTATGGTGTTATGCGGATTCAGGGACGAATTTGTATTCCAAATGTTAATGGGTTGAGGGAGTTCATCCTTGAGGAGACTCATAGTTTGCGCTATTCCATTCACCCAGGCATCATGAAGATATACCGTGACTTGAAATAGCACTATTGGTGGCAGAGGATCAAGAAAGATATTGTCAGTCATGTCTGTAGGTATTTAAATTATCAACAGGTGTAGTATAGGCATCTGAAACTGGGTGAGTTGACTCAGAGATTGGAGATACCAAAGTGAAAGTGGGGTGGAACAACTGTTCACTTTTGCGATCTGGATGGGGATTGCTTTTGCGACCCGGTGTCGCTTTTGCGATACTGTACTAGGTAGAGCAGCTTCGCATTTGCGAGGAGGGTGTCCTTTGTTGTTATTTTCGATATATATATATATATATTTAGTAGGTGTCTTGCCTTAGCTTCGTCACTACCTTGTCGGGGTTAGGGCGACACTTACTGATTATATTAGGTCGGTTGTACTCATACTATGCTTCTGCACTTCATGTGAAGATTTTGACATTGGTACTAGTGGAGTCCCAAGATGCACTTATCATACAAGACAGTGATTCAAGGTAGAGCAACATCCCGTCCGTAGGTCTTAGAGTCACTTTCCTATTTCATTGTTCTATTTCCATTTTATTTCGGAGTGTTGTATTTCTTTATAAACCTTGTATTTAGCTTGATCTAGACGTCGTGTACTCATGGCACCGAATCTTAGGGTAGTTTATGTTATGTTATTGATTACTGACGTCGTGCTATAATAATTTGACGTTATTTACCTTACTTGCTTGTTGTTTAGATGCTAATTTGTGCGATAGTTAAGCTTAATAGAGTTAATTTTACGTGTAGGAATGATTGGATATGAAGCGGAGAAACGTTGCATGAAATGGTACCTCAAAGCTACAAAATGGAGCAATAAACAAAGACGCGCAAGGTAATGAAAAGTGACAGCCGTAGATAGTGCAAGGCTTTGTCTAGGGCATTGTCATTGACACCTCTGATAGTGCCTCGCTGAGTAATGTTGGCACCTCTGATGGTGCCTCGCGGAGTAATGTTGGTGGCTCTGACAATGCCCCGCGCCGATGATGCTTATCCGAGCCACTTTTATTTCCTTATTATGTTTGGGCGTGTAGACTTCGACCCTACCATATAAATACCTCTTAAAGTTAGTTTTTGAGGGGTGAGACATTATTGGAGCGGCAAAAGGTTACGGGACACTTAGAAGCAATGAATCACTCGAGTTTTCTCTTCCCTTCTTCCTCAATCTGTATTTGAATTCTTTCAATTATTATCACGATTATTAATATATTTACGTGTAGCTAAACTTTCTCATATAGGGTTTGATGGAACCTTTTGAAGGATGATTTTCTGTTGCATTTAATATAATTTAACCCTTGGATTTATACACTTGTTCAACTACGTGCTTATTTCAGTTGATTGAATGGTCATCGATTGACTGTACCTATTTATCATGTGTTACTTGAGAAAGGATATATATTTAGGCGGTTGTTGAGCAACGTCACTTCTAAGATATATGAGAGATCAATACGGCAGATTTAAAAGCGGAATTAGAGATAACGAAGCTTTGACGTGATCATAGTGAGTAGTGAAAAAGTGCGAGCTGACGTAATTCGAGAGAATATGACTAGTACATTATTATAGTTGCTCGAGAAAGAATTATGATAAGTCGAGTGCTCATGATTAGTAGAGAATACTAAGGCCAATTATAGAAGATGTAGCGGGAAGGATTCCGACAATTTGGGAAATCATAACTCTAGGCCTCCTTAATTTTGTCTCCAACCCTTAGTTTCTTTAGTTGATAAATTGCTACTACTTTTGATAATCATTAGTTAATTAGTTTAAGTAACTTAGAAGTTATTCGAGCTTTCCCTCTTGGTGATATTGAACAGTTATAGTGAAACCTTAGTTCTATGTGGGATTCGATTTCGGACTCTTAGACCGGATAATATTTGCAGTGATCGCTTATCCTATTTAAGACTAGAGTAGAGCGTGATCAATTAGTTATCAGATATTTATTGCTTTGCTTTTCGTATTATGTCATTGTGTTGGCTTGGCTAGCAAACGATATTGGACGCCATCACGACCCCGACTGATTGGGATTTTGGACAGTGACATATCAAATTCATATGCGTAAGAATTAAGAGTTTCTCTTCCAACTCGTTTTGGAATGATTACTATGACAAAACAAAGAAGACAAAGAGAAAATGGGTCCGGAAAATCGGAACAAAAGTTTCCTCCACAAGACAGAAGTTTTACTATAATCAGCGACTGGTCATACATTCACTAAATGGAAGTGAAGCCCATAAACTTTGAATCATGGATGATCTTTACTCTGAGTATAAATATAGTCAATATGAGCCTCCATTGTCCTCCTCTTCAAGCAATCCTCTTCCTCTGCCCCTCCACATATTCCTTCATCATTTTCAACTTTATCATCATGCATCCTACCCACATGACCACACAAATTTAGTAAACGGAGAAATATCAAGAACTCGTAATTCTCTAGTGATGAATTATACTCCCTTTATTTTAAATTATGTGATATACTTCGCTTATTGAGAGTCCTTTGACTAATATTCGAAAATAAATTGAATTAGTTCAATTCAATATTTTGAAAATAAAATTACATATTTAAAAACTACACGAAAAATCCTATAAAATGCTATTCTTCTTGTATCGATATGATAAAAATGTATTTAAAATGAGGTCAAACATCACATAGTTTGAATATCGAAAATCAAAATGTGTAATACAAATTAAAATAGAGCAAGTAACGGGCTAATTTGATCTGTGTGACAGAGGTCTCGAAGTATCTGCAAATTTAACAAAATCGTGATTTTAGAAAAAAAAAAACAAAAAAGGTACAATAACTAAGATATGTGTTATGAAAATAATTATATTGTGGATATCCATTTATTACTCCGCTATAGATAATCTTCCTGAAGAAGATTATCCATTTAGTACTCAGTTGAAGTTTATCTACAAGCAGCTGATGCAGACAGGTTACAAGCAGCTCAATAAAATAATTTGCAACAGATTCTTATTAAACAGGCAGGTTGCAAGCAGCTCATGCAGATAACTTACAAGTAGCTAAAGAAAAGCCTTGCAGCTGCTTCCTGAAAAAGCCTCGCAGTTGCTTCCTTTCTTCTATAAATAGAGGAGTTTCCAGTTCATTATGTACATAAGTTTGAAGTTTGAATAATATATCAATCTCTCTCTATACTTGTCTTCGGTTTATTTACTATAAAAATTTTATTTTATAACACGTTATCAGCACGAGACTCTGTCATCTCGAGCAAATACTTTGAAAGTATCACATGTACGAACTTTCTTTTTCTAAATAATGCCAAATCTTTCTAAACTTGAATTTGTAGCCCTGGATATATCAGGCAAAATCTACATGTCTTGGGTGCTTGATGCCGAAATTCATCTTGATGCGATGGATCTAGCAGACACCATCAAGGATAAAAATCAGGCATCAAACCAAGACCGTGCCAAAGCAATGATATTCCTACGCCATCACCTTGATGAGGGCCTGAAAATTGAATATCTTACTATTAAAGATCCAGTCATACTGTGGGATAATTTGAAAGATAGATATGACCACCTGAAGATGGTCGTTCTTCCACAGGCACG